TTTCCTCTTTTTTTTTTTTTTTTTTTTTTCTTTCCTTCTAATTTGAGTTTATAGGATCTCACTCCAGTGCTCAACAGCCTTTTTGGCTAGGGAACACTTGCTTCAATCCAACTTAAAACTCTTGTGCTATAATAGCAAGGAGGTTTCTTTTTTATGCTACTATGTAGAGATCGGAGCACAGCTGGTCAATCTATTCTGTGTTAAAACCTTTCACGAACTTGAAAAAATATTATTAAATTTATTCTCCGCCTTCATTTCTGGCCATAGAATAATCCCTACTCGCAGTAACATTTTAATTTATGAAGTATTTTATCATTTATTCTACCTTTTGATCTTACCCCTATTTCTTTTTTCCCCCTTAATTGGATCATTCATCTAATTATGAGGCTGACCATTAAGGAAAATAATAGGAGAGAAATGTAACTATGGTCATGATCTTTGGACAGACCAGGATTTGAGTCTTTGACCTAACATTGACCTGTATTTGAAAACACTTACAAATTACTGAATATTTGAGTCCCTTAGTGTATGAACCAGGCATAACTCATAGGAGTACTATGAGAACACAGTGGCATACTAGACATACACAAAGAGCGACTAGCTGATGTGAATGGTTCAGAGCCCTTTTCAGTTACATTTAATTCTTTTACTGTTTCATGCATTCTTTTCTAGGAGGCAGAAGTGCCTAGAAACTTACATGGCCTTAGGGTGGTCCTTAGCAGACACTGGAATAGCCAGCTTCCTCCTGATTACCTTTAACTCAATTTACACTTGCAGGATTACCTGCAAGAATCAAGCAAAGGCTTCCTAATATGGAACTTGGCCTGGTAAACAGAGCATACTTTGCTTGTCTTCTTCCCTTTTCCCGGTCCCAGTGCCCTACTCCCTTATCAGTTTCTTCTGGGACCACTTCCTTAATAAATCACTTACATACAAATCTTCCTCTCCAAATCTACCTCAGGGTAAATGATATGACAATGAACAACCATCATTCTCACTTCCTCATAGTTCAAGTTGTTGGAATGCCTCCCTTGAGAGATAATACTGATATTTTTCAGGTGGACAAATGCTTTGAAAATTTTCCCATTAGGGCAATTTCCTTAATTCATTACATCTTCAACGAACTATAGGGTATAGAGAATTATTTATTGAATGAGCAGGAAATAAAGGAGGTTTTAGGCAGGATGTATGGATGTTTATAACATCATTCACTCTTTAGAAATTGCAGGTAAGTGTTCTACCACAGAGCTACACCTCCAGCCATTTAGAGACAGGGTCTTGAGAAGTTGGATCAAGGTCTCTCACCTGAGTCATTCTGGAAAAGGAGACAGGAGCGTTGTGGCACCTGAGAGATAAGCACAAACACATAGTGAAGTTGAAGTGAGAAGTAAAGAATGTGATGTCTTCCCATGGCAGGTTGAGGACAAAAAAACAACAAAGACTTTTCAATAAATATCCATGGTCTTTTCTAGCCAGTCCTTTGGGCCACGGCATATATGGCATAGGAATAAAACAGGCCAGATCAGAAATCCACACACAAGAGATTTCAGAGCTATCAACCAGATAGAATTTGAGTCTAGTCACTCCTGAGGGGGTCATTAAAGATCTTAAAATAAGTTACTTTTTCCTCTCATGTGCCTGTTTCTTATCTTGTTTCTATTTCCCCCCACCTCACTCCTACATTGTTCAGAAATTAGTCAGTAAATCTACTGTCTCAAACTTTGAAAGGGAAATCAAGTAACCAACATTAATCAGTACCTTTCATGATTATTATTAATCATGATGTTCCTCTCTGCCCTGAAGGGCTGTACCTTGCCTGTCCCCTACTTCATCAGCTCAAAGGCAGCCCTTTTGTAAGAGGCTGTATTTTGGTTAGTTGAGACTTTCAAAAATGCAATGTTGAGCCGCATTTTAATTATTTTTTATTCATATTTGCCTTTCGCAAGCTTCACTGGGGCCTATAATTTCCCAGTTTTAAAATGAATCTGATCATCCCCTATCATCTCTTCCTCTGCTTCTGCCAGGTCTCATTTTGGTGAGAGGAAGTTTGAGGCCTGCTAAACCAAAAGGATATGCTTTTGTTTTAGCCAAGATTACCCTCTACTCTGTAACATAATCAGACTTCTTACCAAATCCACCCACACAACTGCAATCCCATCCATTTCCTTTAATTGTGTTTTTAAGCTTTTTTTTTCCAAAAGAGGAGGAATCATTTATTTGTTTTTCTCCTGCTCTTGCTCTTGCCAAGGCCACAGTACGATAAATACATTGAGAAGGCAAAATGCACGCACACACACACACACACACACACTTTTTTACAAGGCTGCTTTTCCCCCGTTGTCATGGTTTCCATTGAAGCCTGTTACCTGTGGTAATGCTATTCAGATAATGTTATGCTTGTTTGTTTGCTTGTTTGTTTGCTTGTTTGTTTTAAATATCACATTATTTCAATACTTCAGTTACAGCATGGCAGTAGAAAGAATTTAAAACTCTCTTCCTCAATATCTACTTCTCTCACTCCAGCCTACTTTCAAACAAATTGCTTACATCTGAAAACATGTCCTTACATGGTACACAGAGCATGATGTGATATCTTGGATGACTTCAAACCTTGAGATCAACAGAAACAACTTCTCCTGAAGGTCACTGATGAATTCTACACTGTTAAGTGCAATGGCTAAATCTCACCTAATAATTCTCATCTTAGTTGACCTTTCAGCACAATTATTTGACACAATTGATCAGTCTGTCCACCTTAAAATATGTTTTCCATGGGACATCATACCCGTTTTGGCCTCTCCTTGTCAGCTTCATGGCTGTTTTCTCTCCATACCCCCGAACCCCAAGGTTCAGTATGGTCTGCCCCTCTCTGAAGGTGGTCTAAGTGATCTCATCCAATTTCATGGCTTTAACTTTCATCTATATGTTGATGATACACAAATTTCCAACTTACCCTCTTTCCTATACTCCAGACTCATATATCCAATGTCAATACCTACATAGTCCTACTAAGACAGAAATTATGATCCTGGCAGGAGTTAGGATTCTATTAGACAGTAAGGACAGCTCCAAAATAGACTCAGGAAGCCCAAACTTGAGTCTGCTCAGTCATAACCCTACAGGGCTCTTCCAAAAACACTCTACCAGGTATCCTGCATCTGTCAGAGACCTTCCTAGAGAATGAGCAAGTAAGCTATTGGCTCAAGAGCAAGCACTTGGTCCCTGCTTGGGCACTTTGTGGACACTGCATAGATGGGACCCTAAAAAGTGTGTAAGCTGCTGTAGAGTTGAGATCATATCATTTTTGCACAACAGCCCAAGCTCCTTTATAAGCAACTAAAAACTCCTAGACAAAGAGCCAGTTGGCGCATCCTGCTCAGGACCCCTTCCCAGTGAGCAGGAGCTCTACTTTCCTCTACATCTTTCAAATGAATTTGTTGGCATCCTACCTCCCACACCCACCATTTCAGTCTTCATCACCATGGAATATGACCCTGGTGTTCCATTATTCATATCATTTTAACATGTTCAAAAATCAGAATGTCTACATATGCCCCCCACCAAAACAATCCTCCTATTTCAATCTTCTTCATGTCAGCTAATTATGTCTCCATATTTCCAAATTTGGATCAGTATATTTGTGGTACCCCTAATTCTACTCTTACTCTAAAAACCATTATCAAATCCTAATGATCTTCACCCATACAACCCTGAGCACACTGATCTTGTCTGATGAAATTCTATTGTCTCTTCTTTCAAAATATATCTGGAATCTGACTGTTTACAATCCCAATTAACATCACCTTTGCTCAATAATCCGGATAATTTCAGAAGCCTTCTGAATAGTCTCCCTTGCACTTTTTCCATTCTTTTTCAGTCAACACAACAGATGGATCCTGTTAAAACAGATCTAATCATGTCAGTACTTTGTACAAAACATCCCTATGAACCAGGCATCGTAGCATACACCTGCTTAAAATCCCAGCCTCTGGGAGGCTGAGGCAGAAGTATCACAAGTTTGAGCTCCGCCTGGGCAACTTAGCAAATTTGGGAGGCCTTGTCTCAAAATAAAATGTAAAAAATAGCTAAGGATATAGTTTAGTGTGAAGGTCCTAGATTCAGTGTTCAATGCCCAGTGCTACACACACTCTCACACACACACGTGCGCATGCACACAGCCTTCCAGTGCCTTTCTAAGCAACACAAAGAAAAGACCAATGTTCTTTCTATGACTTACCAGGTACCTCTGTGATATCATCTCCTGTAAATTTCCTTCCCCTTCATTGATTCCAGTCTAATAATTCCAGCCTCTTTGCTTTTCTCTGCACTGCCAACATATGCCACTCCTGTGGCTTTTCTACTTGCTACTCTCTCTGGCTGGACTGCTAGCTCACTAGAAATTTGTGTGGCTATGCCTTCTACTTTAATCAAAATCACAGTCTCATTGAGGCTACCTTTGAGTGATCTATCTAAAACTCCCCCTTCTCCTCTCGTTTTGCTTGTCAGCCCTTACTATTATCTTATTTCTTTACTTTTCTTCCATATTTTGTTCATTTTTCACCTCACCTGCTAGAATATAAGATGAAAGAAGTAAAAGGCTTTTGGTTGTTCATAACTGTATCCTTGAAGCGCTTGAAGCAGAAGGGACGCTCAGTAAATATTTCTTGAATGAGTAACTTTCAGTGAAGACAGAGTCTTCTCTAATCATCCCATGTACCCCAAACAAAAAGAAGGTAGGAAAAGTAAGAGTTGCTCTAAAAGGAGATACAAGAGTAGTTACAGGAGGGTCAGGCCTGAACATGGCTGAAGTGGCAGGAAATGTCACTGAGAAGCCATGATCTTCCAACCTCAACGCTGCTGCTGAATGCATCAGTTGTGGGGTGCAAGCGGTTGATAAGAAATAGGCTTTATCAAAATCCTCACACTTACAAGGCTGTTAAGAATTTATTTCATGCTGAGTTGTCTGATGAGGCTTTACTTACCCCTCAACTTTCTTTCACACAGGAGGCTTAGCAAATTTACTGTCCAGTAGTAATGATTTTAGGACTTACATCATTGTTCCTTTCTTTAGGTGCATATAAACATGAAGTTTATTGGTCTAAATATGTGAGAAAATGTGAATTTTATTTTAAAATGGGTTTTTATCCTACAGCTTGGAGATCTGCCTGAATACTCTATCCTTTGTTTTCCTTATTTTCACAATTCTCCTCTTTGCCAACTCTTTTTTTTCTGCCTTCTCTTACAATGTTACTATTATTTTTTAATTTAGAGTTACATAGCAGGAATCCTATATAGTTCACCTGATAGCAACAGAAAATTAGCCAAGGAGTAAAGAAGTACCTACAATTTTATTATTCAGTAGGGACTAATTTAGACAACTTTTCAGGATGGTGGCAATCCTTCCCGTTTTGTTTGTTTGTTTAGTTGGTTGTTTGTCTGTTTTTCTGCTGCTCTGATTCCTTCATACCTACAACCAGGGGGGAAATTCCCTTCCCATATTGTATCACCTACAGGCATAGAGATACCTATCGGCATTTCTGTATGTTCTGCTCTTGGGGGGATTTGGGATATTACCATTAGGGTGTGGAAGATTTGTTTCATACAGGGAGTTATGTAGCATCTTCGGGGGATCTGAGACCTAGAAAACAGCAGTCTTATTCAAGGAAGACCACGTTACCAGGGAGCCCAGTTATCAATCAATGTACCACAAAAATTAAACCGTCTCTTATAACAGCAGTTGAAGCACTGTGGGCAATGAATTCTTAGGGGGTGGCAAAACAGATGAAATCCAGTCATCACATTTTACAACAGATCTGCTGCTTGATAAAGTACAACTGGAGAGCTGACTGTTAGCAATAAGGCCATTTCTAAGAATAAAATGAGTTTGTAAAAGATCCGTTTGAATTATTAACTCCAAAAAATGGCTGGAGAAGAAAATGGTTGCTGGTATCACTGGCTTTTCTCCTCACACGTATGATTAGAACAAAGGGAGGCATGGGAGAGCAGGGGAAAAAGGGAAAGCAAATTTCCCTCCGACATAAGGAGGCACATTTTCATGCAGCGCCTCATCGATACATAGAGAGGCCACCTACCAGGTAAAGAAAAACACTGTGGCCATTGTGAATGCAAGCAGATGCCAAAGCAAGGGAAAACAACAACACTTATTTTCACCAAATATCAACTAACTAACTCTCTCTCTCTCTTTCTCTCTCTCTCTCTCTCTCTCTCTCTCTCTCTCTCTCTCTCTCTCTCTCTCTCTCTCTCGCCTTGCAATGCATTCCAGCAACACCAAGTGGACACTCATATGCAGCCTTTCCTCTGCACCCTGTGGATCGCCACTCCCTA